ATTTTCTTTCTTCTGTTTGATGCTTACGAATAAAATATATTCGTAACCCGAATGATGTTGATTATTTTTTTACAATTTTTTCACCCAGATTTAAAAACAGACATCGGGTATCAGCAGGAGAGACTGTTTCAGCTGCGGGTCAACTCGTAACAAATCGATTATATATATATATATATATATATATATATATATATATATATATATATAATGTGTGTCTATATAATGAACTATTTTGAGCAGACATCAGGATGCTAATGGAGTCGCGTCTGATACGACTTTGAATGTTTTGTTTCAAGTGGACACTCCTAAAGATAAGTTGCGTGATGGCCGGGAGAAGAAGAGTGATTGGCGGAGCTGAATGCGCTTACTGATATGGACAACAAAGTAGCATATACGACACGATAACAAGAGAAAAGTGAATTTGGCGTCGTATTTCGGGTGGCCAAACCAAGATGGACGGAAGGAGGGCCCTTGTGTTTGTTGTTCATCTTCAACATCCGTCGAGATGCCTCGAGTCGAAAAACCGAAAATAGATGGAATTCAGTTTTCATTCTGCTTTAGCTGGTTGCTTAGTTGGCCAGTCGGTCACCTAAAAGAGAAAAAAAGAAAACCTTCGATTAGTTTGAAGTTTTCTTTGGTTTTTTTTTTTTCTTTTTTTTTTTTTTTTTTGTTTTTTTTGATGACACAGTTTCTCTTCATCATGTCCACACAACTGGCCAAAACCTTCACATACGCACTCGGTCGCACACGTACACAAATGTCAAAAGATAGAATCAGGTATATATATATATATATATATATATATATATATTTAATGAAAAACAGACCACTTTAAGGTACCATTACAATAATTTATTTCACCAATATCCTTTTTAAAGGATATTGGATCATCAGGTAACACTTCCAACAATGAAATGAGAGAAAAAATGGGATTAGAAATTGATGGGTAGTGTAATTTTTGTAATTAAACAGGGAGGGCGAAAGTAGCAGTTAAAGAGACAATACAGAGTATAGGGAGGGGTTAAATTTATATCTCTCTTAAATAAGCTTTATATTGGGGTAGGAGGAGTGACCTAACCTTGACCTTTTTATATGGTTAAAAAAAAACCCAAAAAAACGGCAGTGATATGTAGGAATTGTGAGGAAAGGAAATAAACTAAAAGGAAAAAAAGTGGAAAAAAGTCTGACGTATCCAAATGAGTTTTATGGCAAAGAGAGAGGGGGAGAGGGAAGGAATCGAAAGAGAATATATATATATATATATATATATATATATATATATATATGTACTATTTACATTATTCAGACTACTATTTAATCTTTGTCGCTATATTTATTACAGCAACGTTTCGGCCGTTGGACGCTCTGGCCTTCTTCCGGTGGCTGTAATGTCGAACTGAACCCTTTATTTCGCTCACTGGGGTAGACTGTGCTAGTTCCACGTGCCACGTTTAATGGATGTCAGTTATTAGTTATCTCCTCTTAATTCCTCTCTTCAAGTTCTCCACTGCCTTAACCGGGTATTGAACTCACACTCTTTGGGTCCTGTCACTGGATCTAACCAACTTTGTCCTCAAAGACACATGGCACAGTGGCTAAAGGTTAAGTCTGTGGAGAACTTTGAGTGGAGGATTAACAGGAGATAACTGATAACTGACATCCATTAAACATTGCACGTGGAACTAGAAAAGTCTACCCCAGTGAGCGAAATAAAGGGTTCAATTCGATATTCCAACCACCTGAAGAAGGCCGGGGCATACAACGGCCGAACGTAATAAATATAGCGACAAAGATGAGGACAATTGTCCGAATAATGTAAATAGTGTATAATACCTCATCTCAGATATATATATATATATATATATATATATATATATATATATATATATATATATTTTTGTGCGATCATCATTGACACTATGAAACTGAAACTTTCATTATGTTATCAAATATTCCCGAAAGAGCAATTAAGATACTTAATAACTTTAATGTATCTAGGCTTCGTTTTACTGTCGAATAAACCCTGTTTATCATGGTCTTCAATCCCGAGGGACACAGATTTGGATAATTTTTGGCATTGATTTGCCTGTGCCGTCCGAGGGGAACTGCTGGGAAATATTCTCGAGATAAAATGACTGGTCAGATCTGCTGTTGTCATTTTTCTCATAGGTAAATTATGATAAACAACGTGCTACTATGAACCGCAGACATTAGGAATTGCCTTCCGAGTTGTAAGTTTTTAGAAACTGAAATAAGAAATCATAATCATTGTCTTTATGATGAACATCAGTCTCATAACCGGGTGTGACTGTTGGCACGCTTCTCAGAAGAGCACCCGACGAGTTCCCTCCCTACATGTAGTCATCACGCGTAATGTGTCTGGCAAGTAGAGCTAACGGATCCTTGCCCTCACCAGTCCAAACAACAGATGGCCTCCTTCAACTTGAAAGTTCGTGTTGGTTATAGACATTTTGCCGTTGATTCCAGTTGTGTGGCCGTTGTCTTGGAGAAGTAGAGATGACGGGTCCAGCCCTCACCAGGTCAAACAACAGACGATGCCTTCCAACTTGAAAGTTCACGTTGGTTATAGACACTTTGCAGTTGATTCCAGCAAGCACCTCCCAGGCGTAGCCGTTGTCTTGGGCAAGTAGAGCTGACGGATCTCAGTCCTCACCAAGTCAAACAACAGACGATGTCTTCCAACTTGAAAGTTCACGTTGGTTATAGACACTTTGCCGTTGATACCATCAAGGACCTCTCAGGTGTGTCCCTTGAGTATCTCGGAATCTGTCTTCCCAGCGAAGACATTTCAAGAATACACTGGCTGAATAAAAAGCTATAGAACACAGTACACCTTTTGTGTGCCAGATGGCCATCAACCTTACGAGAACATTCATCCTCGCTTGAGTCTTGTTTATAATCCTGCTTCTCTAGATGTAGTAGTTGGTTACAAGTTATCAGTAATATCCGATGAATAAGAGAGAAGGGCATGGGTTAGGAATTAACCTTAACGTTAACGAAAGAACATAGAAAATGTATTTGTTCGATATTATAGGGGAATATATCGAATTTTGCAGGCACTCCTCAAATTATCTCTGTGTCCTTTTGCCATACTCTTTCAGGAATGGAAGGGTCATGGCTCTTCCCCATTTCGCGTCATCTAAGTAACATTTCATAGTTGTTCTGACATCCTAAATGATTGTCAGAATAAGTAGCATAAAAAAACGTATTAGCCATATTTCTGTATTTCTGTTGTCTTCAATAAAAGCTCCAGGAGTCTTGAATTTTCCAGACTTTATTTCTCATCCTCTACCTGCTTCTGATTGTTAGCTATTCTTTAATAATTTAACAGACTATTATTTTTTAGAGAATTTTATTTCTCCTCTAACTTCTTTATTTTGAGCTTTGAGGTCAGATACAGAAAAACAAAGGAAGTCGTTTTTGATTTGTTAAGACTAGCGTGAGAATGTAAAAGGGATTTCAGGGAGTTAAGTCTTACACGTCATACAATGCAGACATGATACTTTCGTCTCTGGGAACTTGTCCCCCTCCCCCAGTGTTGATAAGAGAGCGACTCCATTGGCTATTCAGAAATGTACATGTCGACGTGTTGAATGAATTAGTAAGATCCAGATTCCCTTTGTTGATGTCTTTTCATGTCCAGAATACAAAAACATTACGCTACCCGTCTAAGAGAAGACGAGAAGATATATATATATATATATAAAACAGTGTATTAATTGAAGCCGTCGCCCCAAGACAAGAAAATCCCTGAAGAAGGGTCTATACAACAACACTATAGTTTATTTGTACTACACTTCAATATACATTTTCTCTGCCACATGGGCTTTTCATGCTATTCATCTTTCGAGCCTCATCTCTGATGCTTCACATATTTACTTCATCTAATAATGTATTTAATATCGGTGCTGCTTGTATACTGTAGAATATTATATAACAGTACGGGATTTTTTTTGTTTTCTTTCTAAGGACATTTTTGTTCCTTTAATACCACTTTCTTTAGATTCTAAAAAGTATATTTTACTACAATTATGCGACTTCAAATATTTGGATTAAACTTTGTGAAGATGATGAGACAAAGTGGAAAACTTACAAACGACGCGTTTCGCCGAGAACGTTTTCTGTCTCTGGCTTCCTCAGTTTAAACTTTGTGGCATTCATTTCTGCAATACTAAGTTAATTTTCAGCACCTGCTTGACTTTAACGTCCCCCATATGTAGCTCGGACTTTCTGTTATTTCTTTCGCTGGCAACTATGTATTATGCTTGGGGTGGGGGCAAATGAGATGAAGAATCAGGTCTTAATAAAACAATGCAGGATAATAATAGTCAAATTGTGAATTTGAAAAATAGAATGAAAATTTAAATAAATACATATACAGGTTAATCATCGTACAATTCATCACTTTCTCATGGAGGTAAAAATGATAAAGAAAAGTTGTGAAAAGTGAGTAACAAATGCGGAATAACGTCTGAGAAGCGAATGAGATAGATAGATAGATATGAACATATTTAAATATATAGATAGATATACAGATAGATATGAACATATTGAAATAGATAGATAGATAGATAGATATTAACATTAGATAGATAGATAGATAGATATTTATATTAAATAGATAGATATTAATATTTAGATAGAGGATAGATAGATAGATAGATAGATAGATAGATAGATAGATGATATGAAATTATTTAATAGATAGATAGATAGATAGATAGATAGATAGGTACATATAAAATATGGAAATAGATAGATAGATAATTTACGGAAATATATAGATAGATAGATAGATAGATAGATAGATAGATAGATTTATAGGTACATATGAACATACGGAAATAGATAGATAGATAGATAGATAGATAGATAGATAGATGATAGATACATATATAGTATAGACAGATAGATAGGATAGATATGAACATAAAGAAATAGATAGATAGATAGATATATAACATACGGAAATAGATAGATTAAACATGGAAATAGATAGATAGATAGATAGATAGATATATAGATATATATAACATACGGGAAATAGATAGATAGATAGATAGATAGATAGATAGATAGATAGATATGAACATATAGATGAATATGATAGATAAATAGATAGATGATAGGTACAATGAATAAATAGATAGATAGATATATTGGAAATAGATAGATAGATAGATAACATATGAACATACGGAAATAGATAGATAGATAGATAGATAGATACATAGATATGGATGGATGGATAGATAGATAGATATGGATGGATGGATAGAACATAGGTGATAGATATTTATGGATTGAAATTTATAGATAGATGGATAGATAGATAGATAGATTGGGGTGCTGTGCCATGCTGAAATAGATGGATGGATAGATAGATAGGTTTATATCTCCTACGGAATAGATAGATAGATGATAGATAGATACTAGAAGATAGGAATAGAATTAGATAGATAGATAGATAGATAGGTACATATGAACATACGGGAAATAGATAGATAGATAGATAGATAGATAATGGATATACCATGTGAACATAACGGAAATAGATAGATAGATAGATAGATAGATAGATAGATAGATAGATGAGGTACATATTAATTAATGGAAATAGATATAATAGATAGATAGAAATGAACATACGGAAATAGATATAGATAGATAGATAGATAGATAGATAGATAGGTACATGCTGAATATAAAGAAATAGATAGATAGATAGATAGATAGATGATAGGTTTATATGAACATGCACAGGATAGATAGATAGATAGATAGATAGATAGATAGATAGATAGATAGATAGATAGATAGATAAATAGATAGGTAGAATTATGCGAAATAGATAGATAGATAGATAGATAGATAGATAGATGATAGGTTTGATAGATAGATAGATAGATAGATAGATAGATGATAGGTACACATAGGGAACAGATAGATAGATGGATGGATAGATGGGTACATATGAAATAGATAGATAGATAGATAGATAGATAGATAGATAGATAGATGGATAGGTACATGGAACATGCGAATAGATCGATAGATAGATAGATAGATAGGTACATAACATACGAGATAGATGGATAATGATAATCATAGAGAAATAAATAATCATCATAGACGTCATATATTATCTATCTATCTATAGAAATAATCTATAAGTAGATAATAAAGAGACATAGATAATGAAGAGTGAAATAAAGAGACGTGATAATGAAGAATGAAACGAGACCTTGATAGAAGAGATAGGTAGATAATGATAGATATGAACTGATTTAGAAGAAAATAAAGAGAAGAAAATATAAAGAGTAAGATATATGGGAAAGAGAGGGAGAGGCGCGATAAGAAATAGAGTACAAATGTAGAACAGAGAGAAGGTAAAGAGAATCTTATAAAAGAGAAAGAAGGTTAAAGAGAAAGAATGGTTTGAGGAAGAGTGAGAGATAAATGGAGATATAGATTAACAATAAAAAAGGAAAGATTAAAGCCGAAAAGGAAGGCTGAGGAGAGGGGATGGGAGAGAGATAGAGAAAATAGGTATTTCCTAAATAAGTCAAGCGGAAGGATACAAAAGCGATTGAAAACAGCGTTAGAAAAAAGATCAATAGAAAAGAGGAATGCGAATAGTCATGTAGAATCATAGAAAAAACAATAGAAAGTTCATGCGAATGAAGAGGGGGGAGATGAGATAGAAACAGAGTAAGGGAAAAATGGAATAAGAAAAAGAAGAGGGTAGAAGCTGACAGAAGAAAAGAGAAATAGAGGAAGAAAAGGAAAAGAGAAGTGAAAAGAAGAGTATAGCGTTTTGATACTAGCAGTGTCGTAATGGTGTTTCGTTTGATAAAAACGGTCGAACAAATAAACAGAGATACGCCATATATATTCGATTTTTCGATACCTGAAGCCGTTAAGATGTTTCTCCTTTTAAAATATTCATATTCATTTGTCCAGCAAAGATCGCATTCATTACTATTTAAATTTCAGTTCAGCTCGGCGACAAAAATAAACTCGTATATGCTTTCAACCTCACCCTATGATTTCTTGCTATTTACCAGGTTTAAATTTTACAGATGACTGTGGAGCTATTACTCGTCCTGTGGAGCAGAATATCGCACACAGATAACAGGCCATTTGAGACACTCCCTCGGATGAAGAATGGTTTCCGATCTTTGGTTGGCCACTCTGGTACTTTATCTAGAAGTTACATTGCAGACCATTAAATGGTTCCTTTCATTGGATTGGTTGGGATTTACAAGTTATGCTCTTCCTCGGTTGGTTTCACAATTGTTAGTAAATTTCAATTATCTCATCTTCACCACGCACCAAACTAAGTCCTGCAGCCTGTAAGTCCAGAGGCACCGCCGTATAACGTGGTCTTCGCTTAGTATTAGCAGCGAGTTTCTATCAATCACCGGCTTGTTTGGCTTGACGTGTAGATTGCAGTATCTGATATTCGCTAGCTGTCGCCCATCTGACCAAATTAAATTTGATAATCAAACTAGAACAAGTGTTTCAATGTGATATGACTGTGAGTCTCAATTTAACAAGTAAATAAGTATTACTGCATGCTACTCCAATAGCAACCGACGTATTCAGCAAACTAGAGTCTATTGATCCATGTCGGTGGATTTGACTTTTGTTGCCAAACATCCACCATTCATCATTTGCTAGCAGATTAATGCATCAGATTCGTGTCTGTCTATGCAACTGAAGGGCTGCTACCTTCTTCAGGTGATTAAGGCTATTCCTAGCTCCTAACTACTAAGCACTAGCTTAGGTGAACCCGACAGGAGCTAAACTTTCGCCAGGATAGCTCTCCAAGTCACTCCACATTGTCAAGGTATTTAATCATGGAGTGGAGTAAAATTGGTCGACTATATATATATATATATATATATATATATATATATATATATATATAGATAGATAATGAAATGGACTAGGTCGACAATTATTTTAATATATTTATTGTTTATACGTTATTCTTATAGATACAAATACTTAAGTAAATACTCTGTTTATAATAAACAGTAATAACAAAATTTATCGGCCTGAATGTCCGAGACATCTCATAGAAAATATGTGTCCTCCGACAGGAATCGAACCTGTACTTTAAACGGAACTGTCATATAGCCTCTGTAGCTAAATGGCATAGCACGTCAGGCTACATGACTGTTTCGTGTAGGATGCAGGTTCGATTCCGGTTGGAGGAAAAATATTTTATTTGAGATTACTCGGAGAGTCAGGCCGATAAATGTTTTTAATACTATTTATTACAAATAGAGCATTTACTTAAATATTTGTATTTATAAAAATAACGTATAAACTATAAATCTATACTAGAATATCTGACAATCCGTGTAGGTGAAATCTAGGTAGGTTTATCTGGCTCTTTAGGTTTATATATATATATATATATATATATATATATATATATATATATATAAAAAAATAAAAAGAAAAGAACAGTAAGATATAAAATCCGGTGTTCTTATAGATATTTTTATTTTTACAAAATAGTGCTCAATGTAAATTTACAGAGCATTATGGATTATCGCCTAAATTGCGCAAAAAATAAAAATAACGCTGACATCTCCTTTTAATAGATCTAATTGCCAAAAGTACACAAAAATATCTTGACATACTAAAGAGTAAATATATACAATAAAATCGCCATTGGCTTCAATTACGGCCTCCAGGGAACTTTGGAATATCCGGCATCTCTTCTGGACGGTCTCCTTGTATAATTTGCTGAATGCCGCCATAATCCTTGCCTTTTGGTATTACAAGAAGTTGTGTTGGTCTCTCGCTCAACTGCACCCCACACATAATAATCAAGGGGCTTGCAATCTGGGGATTTAGGTGGCCAGATGTAAGGGGTGATGTGTTCGCAGAAATTGCCTGACAGCCATGATTGGGTTCTCCTGCTATTGTGGCATGGTGAAGAGTCTTCCAACAGCCACCCTTTAGACCCAGACCAGCACTACCTCTCTACCGCACTGTGAGAAGACGAATGGAGGCATAACGACGCCACCGCTAGTGATCACTCTAAACAACATATTGAATGGATATGTCATCCAACTCTTTCTGAATTCTCTGTACTGTCAGCAGATTGGCACCCACAAATGTTCGTATTGGAGCCTCTGCAATGAATGCCAAGCAGTGCAGCATGCTGTTTTCAAATTTCTGACGGGGTGAATTGCGGCATAGTTTTCTTTTTCTCACACACGGTGCCCAACTGACCCTACCATACTTTGCAGTTGGCAGAGTCAAATACAAAGAACGCGCATATGCGAAATTAAAATTATAAAATGGCAACAATTTACATATCGCACCCTGTGTGAGAGTAAGTAAAAATTATCCGGACTTTCAACATAACATATCTTTAAACACGATTAATATATATATATATATATATATATATAAAATGGACAATGTCCGACAATTATTTTAAGACATTTTTATGTTTATACATTCTTTTTATAGATACAAATATTTAAGCAAATGCTCTGTTTTATAATAAACAGTATTAAAGATTTACCGGCCTGAATATCCGAGAAATTTTCACAGAAAATATTCGTCCTCCGACAGGAATTGAACCTGTATCCTATACCCCCCCATATATATATATATATATATATATATATATATATATATTCGTCCTCCGACAGGAATTGAACCTGTATCCTATACGGAACCGTCATTTAGCTTGACGTGCCTTAACCGATTGGGCCACAGAAGAGAGTTCGGTTAGCAAGGTTAGTTTAAAAGCAGTAAAATCGACCTTACTAACCGAATGATCCTCAGTGGCCCAATCGTTTAAGGCACGTCAAGCTAAATGACGGTTCCGTATAGGATACAGGTTCAATTCCTGTCGGAGGACGAATACTTTCTATGAAAACTTCTAGGACATTCAGGCCGGTAAATGTCATTAATATTGTTTATTATAAAACAGAGCATTTACTTAAATATTTGTATCTATAAAAAGAATGTATAAACATAAAAATGTCTCAAAATATATATGTGTGAGTGTGTAGATAAATATCTATATATCTATATATATATATATATATATATATATATATATATATATATATATATATATATATATGGGTACATGGTGCTCAATATCGGAGATTAAAATATAGACAGTACGGGTCTGAAAATCTGAGAATATCTTTAGGCGTGTTACTAATATTTCCATTGCAACGTTGATTAATATGTTCACGTCGCTCTTTTCTCTTTCTCTCACTCTATCTATCTATCTATCTATCTATATATGTCAACAGAATTGTATGTCTTGCCCATTGTTCTTAATGCCAGTCTCTTTACTTCTTTTCTACACATTAAGAGAGTAGAAATAGATGCATACATACCTTAGTAGTTGCTAGCAAATGCCTTTAATTTGGTCGTAATTTGGCTGCACCGAACACGAACGACAACTCTACCTAAATATACACTATTCAGACATAAATGTGTATAATGTTACAATGGTGTTTGTTACCAGTTATGCCGTTATTTTTCTGAGAATATTATTGTGAAAGCTGTTATTTTCCAAATATCTTGTTATTCTTATAATTACGAAATTGAGAGATGAAAGAATCGACACTGGAAACATGGGAGAAAATAGAACGAGAAAATGAATGAAACACATTGGGGTTAATTACGAGAGATTCTGAGAAAATGAGAGAGACTTTGAAAAAACATCATTATTAAAGAGAAGCCAAACGCATTGTCTTTTACTGGAAGCGAGTACAAAAAGTCTATTTTGGTGTGAGAAACAATATCGAAATATTTACTGTTTTACACGGGCATTTTCTATAATTTCCCATTAACGTACAACCCGTTTTTCATTGACGAAATGTCGCAGGCCTCTCACTATTCTATCACTATTTCTATGGAAAGCTCTCAAACGAAGTACATTCCTTAGTTTCACCAGTTCTCAGCTTCAAGGCTAAGACCTACCATGCCACACCCATTGTTGCGAACCACCCTCATTCCCTTCGTATTTTATTGGTGATTTTGTTATGGTCCAATATTCTCGCACCACAGTTATGGTCCAAGGTTAGA